ATTGGCTCGGCCTATTACAAGAGCGAGCCAATGGCCGAGCCAATGACAAGATGGCTAGACTTCTGCTGGAAAGTTGGTCTTCGATTGGCACACTTAACAGAGCCATAGACCTTCATCCTGCCTACCAGGTGGTACGCAAACGGCTCGAGTCAGTTCGAAAATGGCCAATAATACGGCGAAGCAGACACAAGCGTGGAGGGCAGCTGAGATCAGAGGAAGATAGGAGAGAGGTCGGCCAGGGACCACGTGACCAGCGTGGAACGCTACCGCACCGCTACCGCGCACGCGAGATTGACATGAACTCATGTGGGCAGCAACAAGTGATTAGTCCGTCGGTGGACAAGGTACAAGCCAGTACGCGCACTGACTTGCCAAAAATTACGACAGCCGCGAAGGCGACACAGGTCACACGAGCCTCCCAGCGGTCAATCTCACAGACATTCAGCTGCAAACAAGCAGGTCAAAGTTCGTACGCCAAGCACAGATATAATAACTGGCATGCAGCGAGGCTGAAACAGTCCCGGCAAACAGGAACAACCACCAAGTTCTCTGACGATGGAAACAAGCGAGTGTCCGAAACGTCAGTCCCAATATAACCCGGCCCATGTCCTTGAACCCTCTTCTTCGTCTTCTTATTTGGGGAATGATGGAAACGAGAATACACTATTCTTTCCACTTGACTTCGCCCTACAGAACCGGTTCTGAAGATCGCAGCAGTAAGAATTTTACCTATTTACTTAATCCACCACGATACTACTTCCCAGTTCCAAAAAAGGAACTAATTCCGGTGTATGCTGAAAACGATGTTTCAGGCGAGGGTTTCGAATTTTAATGTCATTCCTGTCCTTTCGAAGAGTAGAGAGCAGATTAAAAGTCAGTATAGCGATAGTCCGATATTTAATCATTGGAAAACGGTGAGTGCAGTAAATGCTACGCAAGCCAGCGTTGTTAAGCCTAATCGGTTGTGTACCACATCTCTCACGACGATCGACAACCAGTACTCGGTCAAATTCGAATCTACGAAGAAGAATAAAACATTGTTTTCCCGGAAGAAATTTGAACAAGGCGAAGATCACGAGTTG